GTACGTTTATATATTAAGTTTATAGGGAGATGTTCTCAGTATGCGGCTTGACTCCCATTTTAGAGTATATGCAAGAGTTTTTGGTCGTAGGGAATCCCGTCAGCCCATGGAAGCCTGCAGTTTGGACATATCTCTTGTATATATACCTTAAATTCATAAGGAGATGGTTCCCAATGCATTGTTGGATGCTAGCGCAAACCTAAATGCGAAGGCATGTGGTTTTGATCCTATGCCTCCATACTGGGGTTGAGTGACTATGTTAGGGCTGCAACTTGAGTGATCCTAATCTCAGTCCAACCGACCCAATTGGAGATTTTACTAGGCCTCAGGCTGGGTCTGACCTAAATTTGGATTGCACTTGGGTTGAGATCTCAAGTAGCTAATCCAAACCTAACCTGATCCATTCTTTTTATTGGTAAGATCAAAGGGGGAAAGGGCGGGGGGTATATACAATAAAACACAAAGGAGGTTTGAGATATACAAAGGAGGAGCGGGAAAGAGAGCTTGATGCACCATCAAATCTGCAACTTGGTTTACTTCTTTGAAGGAGTAGAGGTAGGAGACACCACATTCCAACAAGTCAGCCAGCCTTGAGCATTCTGAATATGATAGTCTTCAACTTCCAAGGGATATCAATCTTCTTCTTGAGGCAAGAGATGACAATAAGAGAATCACCTTCAATACATACATGGTAGTTCCTATAATTAAGAGAAATGTTATGGGTTTCCCAAGCCTCTACAAGAAAGCAATCAAACAATCTCCATCGGTCCTCCCTCCTAGAAGAATCAAAATTTATTTTAATAATGCCATCTCTTGGGGATTTCCTCATAATAGATTTCCATGTTTTTAGGGCCTTTGCATTGCTAATCTTTGTCAATAGAGGAAAAACTTCCTTATAGGAACTTAAAGCTCTATCAATAATAATTGGTGGGGAATAACTTTTATTATTAAAAGTTTTCTTATTTCTATTTTTCCAGATAGACCAAAGAATGAGATTGCATTTTTCATATCACAAGGGCTTCTCAAGGTTATTCACCTCACTCAGGTTTGCCCACAAATCTTGGATAGAAAGATCTCTGAATTTAAGGACCAAAACTTGGTTGGCCATGGTACACTTTCTGAAAATATGATCCACATCTTCATTTTCTCCACAAAAACTACAAGATCCCTCAATAGCAATCTCATGAAAGATAAGATGAGATTTTGAAGGAAGCCCAGAATCTAGGAGAAGGTAAATATAAGTTTTTATCTTTTTGGGGGGATTTTGAGATTCCAAATCTTACTAAACATCATACTTGTCCCACCCAACCAACCCCTTGACATCACGCTAGCTTCCTTGTACGCCAACTTAATAGTGAAGATTCCTTTGGGATCAAACCTCCATATAAGTTTGCCCTCACACGAACTAGAAGGGAAGAATATAGATCTAATATTGTCCCAAACATGGTTCGGCACAAGGCTACAACCCACGTCTTCTTTCCAAACTTTTCTCATGATCAATGAATGGATGGGTTTCTTACCACTCCCCTTGTCCCAAAATTCTGTTGACTTTTATTTATATCTTCAATAGCACTCTTTAGGATTTCAAGGGATCTTATGATGAACTAGGGCATAGTGCTAATGGTCGAGTTGGATAAAGTAACTTTACCTGCTAGTGAGAGGGTTTTCTTTTTCCACCCTTTGAGTTTGTTATTTACTTTCTCTTTGAGATTTGAAAATAATTTCTTGGAAACCCACCATTAATAATTGGAGCCCCTAAAATGGAGCCATTCTTTTTCTCCAAAGGAATTCTCATCAAACTTTAATAGAGTTTCTTTGACTCTCAAGCAAGCCAACATGGTTGTTTTGGCAAATATCAAATAATCATTAACAAATTGGACAATAGGCACACAAGGTCCATCTTTTGAGGCTTTATAACCAATGAGACTCTTAGGTTTGCTTGCTTCCACCATAAACTTTCTGGTAAGCGCTTCCACACAAAGAACAAAGATGTAGGGGGATAGGGGATTTACCCTACCTAATACCCCTACAAGGTTCAAATTTCCTTGTAGGAGATCCATCCTAAACAAATACATATATACATGCATTTTATTTGTATAAAACTATCTTTCTTCTATTTATTGAGGAAAAAGAAAAAATAAATAAAATATTTTACTTACTAGCATATAAAAATCAAAGTCTAGACTAAGAGTGAAGCAGATGAGGAAACTCCTCCAACTCTCAAAAGTCTCTTTGGCTTGGCTGGTTGAGAATTTGAGATGTGTGATCTTTCCATTGTGAGAAAATATGTATACTTCCTCAAATCCACCATTGTTTCTCTGCTTCTTAAAACAGAGGTACTTTGCATGCTAATAATCAAATGCCTATACATGGAACACTCTCATTCATGTTCAAATTTGTAGCCCTAAACCAACCAAGTGTCACATCCTGCTCCATCTCTCCCTACTCCCACCTTCACCATTTGAATCTCCCCCCTCAACTTGTTCGTTGGTGACCTTGGATCTCTCATCAAACAACTTCTCCAGTCACATCCCTCAAGCTATTTCTTCAAGTGTTATCATTTTGAAAATTTGAAGAAAAAGAAAAGGTAAAATAGTCTTTTCTATCTTTCCATTAACAGTTGCTAACAATTGTCAATTGTTAGGAAACTCAATGGTATTTTAAAGGACTTTTGAAACAGCAGGATAAGTTTTAGTTCATTTTCTAAAGCTTAAGTATTTTACCCTGAGATGTATAATATAGCACTCCACTAAGTAGAAGGTTTCTAGTTCTATTGACGTTTCCTCATGCTGGACTATTAAACCATTTAGGATAATGGGTCATAAGTTGGAAAGTCCAACCAAGTAATTTGATTACTCGATTCATTTCAAATGAAAAATAGCAAAGATTAACAAATAAAAATAATGGGGAAATTTATGATGCAAAAAAGATATGATACAGGAAGAGCTTTGACCAATCAACCCCCTCCTCGAATTTACGTGAGAGTTTAAATTGGCTCCCCACATCAATCCTACAGCACATTCCATCTGCACATCATGAATATATTTCATACTTGTATGTTGTCATTCAAGGGGAGATAGATATTCCCAGCAAAATATTCTATGGGGAGCCAATCCAAATTCACAAGATAACGATTCGTTTTGGTTACAAGTTTTTCAATATCATGTCTTCTCCTTCAAGACAAGGATGCATGACTTAGCAAAGTGCCAATTGGTTGGCTAGCAAGGTCTCAAGCCAATTGTAGTGAATATACCCTAATTTGAATCCGATGTGATCCATTTGCATCCCTAAAACCAGCTTTATTGCTAAACACATTAGTTTTAGGGAAGGTTACCAGGAGCCAGATTGTAATGTTGGGGTAGTGAAATTTAATGGTTTCAAACTTTCACTGCTTGTAATAAAAGGTACCTTCCAAAAATCAATACTCAGGTTTATCTAGAACATGTGATGTCAAGTGTACCTTGAAAGATTTAAAAATTCCAAAACTATTGTTTTCTTGTTTCATGAGTCCATTTTTCCATCTCTTTCATCAAGTCTCTAAAACCCTAGTTCCTAACCCTTTCTTTCCCATTTCTTAGGGTTGAACGAATAAAGTTTTAAAGCAACCCAAAAATTTGCACATTAACCAAGTCCGTTTTTGTTATTTTGCAATTTTATTCTCTCGTATTTAAACTGAAAATGGGTCTTTTGATAAATTTACCACTCACCACACTTAATAAATTGGACTTGAGTGTCGATTTCTAAAAGTCTAGGATATCTCATTGTTGCAAGTAAAAGTTAAGACCCTAAAGACTGTTTGGTTTCCCTACCTTTTCCTTCAAACCAAACATAGTCTAAGTATCACTACCCCCAAAGTACAGGGTACTCCTTATAATTTTCACTTTATGTAGATATAAGCACAAATGTTTGAATGTTATTGGATCGGATTAGGGTACATCAAGATTCCATCAAGTTTTAAAGTAACCGAAATCAAATCACTTAAATCAAATTGGTTTTGATCAATACTAGGTGTGGATTCAGACAAACATATACCATTTGAATTGGTTAGGCAATTTTTGGTACCTTGGTATATCAAATCACCTATAACATGTGATCAATACTAGGTTTATCAATTTGGAGACCAAGAGTTAACTTAATGTGACAATTTTTGGTACCTTGGTTCAATAATTCATAACAAGGGAGTGATTGAGTAAGATGTCATCCAAAGAATTAGAATAGGTTAGGCAAAATGGAGGGATGCATCTGGACTTTTGTGTGATAGGAGAATACTAGTTAGATTAAAAGGAAAATCTATAAAAACAATTGTAAGACCAGCTATGTTGTATGGAGTATAGTGTTGGACAATCAAGAAACATGTTCAAAAAATAAGTGTGGCAAAAATGTGAATACTAAGATAAATGAGTGGAAAAGATAGAAAGGATAGGATTAGAATGGAGTCATCCATAAAAAAAAACTTAAAAATAGCTCGAATAAGTGATAAAATGAGAGAGACTAGACTAAGAGGGTTTTGTCACATGCATCGAACACCGCCAACACAACAGCTCTAGTTAGAAGAAGTGGTTTGGGACAAGTGGAAGGGACTAGAAGAACTAGGACTAGACCAAAAGGACGTGGGTAGAAGTAATAAAAAATAATTTTAAATACTAATATTTTAAAAATAGATATGACTCTAAATAGAACAGATTGGTGAAACAGGATTCATGTAACCGACCCCATAAGGCTTGGATGATGATGATGATGATCAAGCAATTAGAACTATTTTGAGATTCGGCCCATGCAGAGGGAGTTCATTGTAGCATGTTTCAGTCAGATCAAGACTTAGAGGCATCCTACGGATTCAGACCATAATATCATATACAATATTCCCTTCTGGATGATAGAAATAACTATAATATCAACTGTCAAGCATGTATTTAATTTATCTTTTACACACGAAAGGCTGCAAAGCCATGGTTGTATCTCTTACCTTGTAAAGCTGTACCGTTGATGAATTTATCTGATATAAAACAAGTGCAGCAAATTAAAATTGAAGTAAATGGCTTCAACCTAAAAAATAGTAATAGATGACAAACACAAAATCTTTGACAGAACGTCAAACTCACTGAAAACAATGCCATGAAAAAGTTGCAGAAATAGAAAATATCAGTTCAAACATACAAAATCTCCTAAGCCTAAACTTTGCTGCAGCTTAGACTACCGACAGAGTTGCTCAACAGCAGTCACAATCTGGGCAGGCTGAACCACAGTCCACTCCTCCAATGTTCCAGCATATGGGGTTGGTACATCTTGTGATGAGAGGCAAACAACTGGTGCATCCAAGTAATCATGGAAATTCTCGTTGATGGCGGCCGTAAGGCTGGCACCAATACCACCTGTTCGCATGCACTCTTCCACGATCAGTACACGGTGTGTCTTCTTCACTGAATTTCCAATCGTGTATAGATCAAACGGCTTCAATGATCTGATATCAATAACCTCAGGGTCATATCCCTTGTTCACCAGTGTCTTTGCAGCCTGCATCACATGGTACCTCATACGAGAATAGGTAAGGATAGTAACATGCTCACCAGGCCTCACCATCTCAGCTTCCTCCAGTGACAGAACATACTCTTCATCTGGTATTCTCTCCTTGAGATTGTAGAGGAGCACATGTTCAAACAATATCACTGGGTTCTCACTCCGGATAGCTGCCTTCATTAAGCCCTTGGCGTTGTAAGGGGTTGAGCAGGCAACCATCTGGATCCCAGGGATTGACTGGAAATATGACTCTAGTCGTTGAGAGTGCTCTGCCCCAAGCTGACGTCCAACACCTCCAGGCCCACGGATGACAATTGGAATTTTGAACTGACCACCTGAGGTGTAGTGAAGCATGCCACAGTTGTTGGAGATCTGGTTGAATGCCAGGAGAAGGAAGCCCATGTTCATGCCCTCAACAATTGGCCTGAGGCCTGTCATTGCAGCCCCAACAGCCATACCAGTGAATGAGTTCTCAGCAATGGGAGTGTCCAGCACCCTGAGATCCCCATACTTCTTGGCTAGGCCCTTGGTCACCTTATATGAGCCTCCATAGTGACCCACATCCTCCCCCATGACACAGACTCGAGGATCTCTGTCCATCTCTTCTTCCAGACCTTCTCGAAGGGCCTCAAATAGCAAAAGCTCATGCCTGGTGATACAAAAGTGAAATACCATCAAGCACAGTTGCAACAGGTAATATCAGACAAGGATAAATAACAAATATAATGCAACATAATATAATTGGGATCATTCCATTAGCCTGGCATACAATATACCAGTGTCTCCTAGTTAAGGTTCTACTAAATCATTGAAGTAGCAACAAAAGTACGAGAAAGAATCATTTAATCACAACGAAGACATGCTATGATTCATGTGTAAAAAATGTCCTATTCTTTTTGGTTCTTTCCCCACATACGACACTCACATCATTAGCTGGAGCACCAGGCGGGGAAGGTATATTTTCATAATCTCCTCGAACCTTAAACTTGCTTAATAATCTCTTTTCTTGCCAGAACCCATTGTGGAAAACATGGTGGCTCATTCCACTCAACCACTTAATCTCCGAAGAGAGAGAGTGCTTCTTGCTCCAATCATTAGGTTGATGAACACACCCATTGGGGGATTACACTAACTAACCATTTCTTTTTCCAACTTTGGATCCTGAAATTCTCAAAAACACGATTTGGACCATTATAGATGGAGTACATGACAAGATGCAGATGAAATTTTTTAGATAGCAGATAAAACTATTTCTCTTAAAAATCTTCTTAGGTTTCTCTTATTTTCTTTCTGTTGGAAAAGAAAGGATTAATTTTTGAAAAGTGATGTTGACATCCTTAGACATCTATTTCAAGTTGTCACAAGCATTGATTTGACATCCTTCTGCCTGCAACAAACCTTCTGGGATACAACTTACCCAAACAATTCGAGAACTGAAGTTCAATGATGGCACCATCTCATGGTATAGAACAAAGTTAAGTTTCAGATGGCTTGTATAAGAAAGATATTGATTCAAGCATAGAAAGCTGAAGCCTAGTTCTTTTAATGCTATAGTCATTCTTCAATGGGATTGCCTCTATCACGTATTACATGGCTCAAACAATGTTACGAGAATCTCCAACAATCTTTCTGTTTTCAATTTGCAAATCCACAGCCAACTGGTCTACTGCTCTGGGACCACATACTTCTGCTACATCATTTGATGAGGTGTGAACGGGTAATACTATTGCTGTAACAAACCTTCTGCCTGGATCCAAACACACATAACCAGAACCTTCTTTCTTCTCTTGTATCATGGCTGCACCAAAGTAATCCTCCCAACCTGCAGTTTTTTCTGAGCTTTGACTGTTCACTAATGATCTTTTTATAGTATTCTGAGAAATTTTATCTTAGAAGTGTTCTTCATAAAGAAAGTTCCTTTCTCTTATGAATTCAAGCGAACCCTACATTTTTTTATCAGTCAAGCGAGTCCTACACTTTTGCTTGCAAGAGTATTTTATTAATAAGAGTAACTTATAAACTAATGTATCATATGTTTAGCCACATGGTTGGTTCCACCGCCCAGACAATAGGTGCTTTACTACTTTCCAATGGACATCTATAGGCCCATAAGATGTAAAACCCTGCATATAAAAAATCACACATGCTCTCTTCTAAAACTTGTAATAGTCCATAGTACTAGGGTAAAATACTGATACAAGGTGGGCTATAGGATCAACATGGACTGCAGGATTGGACAGGTGACCAATCCAGTGGATGACTTGGACTAGTCACATCATCCATCAACACTAAAAAGGGCAGAATAGGAAAGGTCATATGCATATATAAATATATTCAAACTGGATTTTCTTTTCAAACTATTTTATTTTTCTGTTATGTCATCTGAAGGAAATCAATACACCAGAGACAAAATTAAGATACTGAGCATCAAACAGAAGACTCTCTTCATAGGATTAAACAGAAACAATTCCCAGGTTTCAGGTTCAGAAAACAAATATTCAAATTCCAAAATGAGTGACTGTGTTTACAGAATTCCTTGGAAAAAAATCTATCTTCAATTGAGTGTTTTGGGCACAACTGTAATCTGTACTATGTTTATAATTCTGGTGAGACTCTCCTCTGTTGTATAACGTTCCCCTATTATAATGAAATCCTGTTATTGATAAAAAAAAAATCCTATGGTGCATTGATTATTTAAATTCCTAATAGTGTTATCAATGTAGTGAGGCAATAACTAGTCGATGAAGAAAAGATACGTTCTATCACAAATATTTAAAATAAGAGCATGAATATAACTATGTGATTGACTAGGTTGACTAGTCGTTAATTAACTAGTCGGTCTAGTTGATGCATAGTTGTCATAGGTGACCACATTGACTAGTTAATAATGCAGTCAATTGACCCTCAATTGAATAGTCAACAAGTAGTCAATCCTTTGAAAATACCGATTCTTATGTTAAGCTTTTGAGAAGACAGAAATCCAAACCCCTTGAGGACCGATTTCAGCAAATAATAAAAAGAACAAAGCCGAAGTAAAATGAGGACACTTTATGTAGATCGTTTATATATAGGAAAACAACAAAAATTAACGTCTCTTCTCAATGAACACAAAAGCTATGAATATAGAGAGGGGTGCAATGAAAGACTTGGACTCTACATCCGTTAAACCTTGTATTTTCAAACCCCAATTCATAATCAAAGGATTCTAAAGCAAAAAAAAAAAACTTGGACTGATCAACAGAACTATAGATTAGTAACAACCTGGAAAAGACTGAGTAGCATTGGAGTTTCTGTAACAATATTATGAAGCTAAAACTAGTTGCATCAAAATATAACACAAAGAATAATTCCTTACTTATCAAGAAAAATAAAATAGAAAAGAAAAGGAACAAATCACAATCTCAATAACTCTCTAGTTCTTCACAGGTTAATAAATAAATTCCCTTTTGAACTGGAAAATGCAATGTCAAGTCCTTGTAATATAACGTGACCAACTCTCAACCTTGGCTAACAAACATATCACAGCCAATGCTTATCAATTTAAATAAAATAGACAAATCCCATACCCCCAGTTCATTGTGGTAAGAAGAATACAGCGTCAAAAAGGAGAAATGAAAAATAAAAAACAATTTTCACAACAAGAAATAGTATAAAAGAATAGTTTACCCTCCAGTCTTAGATGCTGTAGAAGCCGCAGACTTTTCAGCCTTCGCGTAAACAAGAAACAGATTGAAACGTCATCAGTAACAAAGACCCATTTTTTTATAAAAATCCAAAAGAAATAGCTAGGACAATAGATTAGTCGAGATATTTAACTGCAACAGCATTAGCAGCAACCAATCGGCCAGCACTGCGAGCTCTGGCATTAGAAACAGGAACCACCTTTGCATCAGATCCGTCAACCAGAAAACCTCCCTTCCGCTCTGAAACTTAGAAAAATGAAATACCCAGATCCGGATTAAAGATGAATAGAAAAAGAAAAAAGGAATTTTCAGAAGATGTTCGAAACACCCACTTCCATATGGAATGCGAAATCAATAAGTAATTGAGAAAAACAAACCAGAGAGAGAGTGGGATCAAACCTGGAAGAGATTTGAGGGAGGGGAGCTGAACTCCCTTAGGAACGAAATCAGAGGATGATGACAGAACTGAGGTCGCCACTATACCCTTCAAAATCGCTGCCATTTCTGTAACTACGAAGAGAAGGGATGATTGGAGATCTTGTATACAACAAATGGAAGAAGGAGAAGACAGGAGGGAAGAGCCAACGGTGTTGCTGGCCACCGCTCTCGGCTCTCTTGGTTTTGGGTGTCTCTTACTCTCTTACTTGGCTGCTGACCCAAATTAAATGGACTTCCTTCCAACTATCATCTTTGGTTCTATCGCCTCCACTCCACCAAGTCTCTTTCTATATTTTCTTGTTTGGCCTTCTCTCTCTCTTCGTGTTTGATCATCATTTTGCCGTTGGCCAGCTATACCTACCATGGAAAAAATTCGGATGTATAATGGCTGTCACAGGGCTCTCCCTGCCTCACACGTTCATCTAATAGTAAAAATTATACTGCACTCCACTTCAGAATTTTAAATTCCATTTTAAACCTATACATAATTCAAAATTTTAAATACCCCATCTATAACATTAATATTCGCCTGTGTATTGGCATTAATTTCTAGCAGCACCAATCTCAACTGTACAATGAAACTAAGGTTTCTTAGAGTGACAACAATAAAAATCCCTAATCTATATATAAAGATGTCAGTGGATCAGGTTAGGTGGTCAATCCACAATGACTCGATTCTAATGGGTTAGGATCGGGTTGGGTTGAACTTAATTGGGTTTTTAGTCAAGTTCAGGTTGAAGCGAACACATGCTGAATCTGACATTGACATTTACAATGCAGCATTGAAACATACAAGTACACTCATTTTTTCTGATTGAGGTTGCATTGATCGGTTTTTTTTTATCATTTTGGTATTGCATTGATCGGGTTCAAGTTGGACCAAATCCGAAATTGTCAACCCTATAAATATGTAATAGTAACAGCGCTGCATATTAATATATAATGAAAACAGTTAATTTCTTTATATAAAATGTTAAGGGTTTTTTAATAACTTATTAACATTTTTAGAATTTTAATCAGATTGAATCATGTTTGGATATCTAACATTCTTAATAAATTTAGATTCAAATCATCATTTATAAGATGTGATTCGATCCATTTGCATTTGAATATATCCCAATTCAAATTCAACCCGATCCATTTGCATCTACATATCAACTGCCGGTGGCTCAATTGATAGAATCTCCAACTCATTATAGCGGATAATTGGGATCAAAATCCCTGTGCCAGTAGGGTTGGAAATGCTGAAAGCATGACTGTATCCATGTCATGGAGAGAGATCTTAGACAGCTGAAGCTGTCTAACGTGGAACAGACTTCTTAACCAAATTTATTCACGCACATGAGCTGATGGGCTGACGACTTGACGGGCACCACGTGATGATGTGTTTACAATTACAACTTTTTTTTAACGAAACTACAAGTATAACTTGATTGGCTCAGTATCCTCCATCTCACATAGGCGGGCGTAGACGAATCTAAAGCTCAGTTTGGAAGGAGTACAAATACAAAATATAAGATCTTGTGCTCTGCATATTTGTATTTGTACTCCTTCCGAATTATGCTTAACCTTGTATTTTGTATTCTTTTGTATGTATTTATACTGTATATATTTATATTTGTATTCATAGATATCTAACATGAATCTCTACAATCCTACTCGTAATAAAGGGCCAATCATAATAACCCATTTGTAAAATCTTACACAAGGCCAACATATTATAATGCTGTGGCTATAATGATTGGACCAGCATCTACAGTTAATAAAGGATCCGATAAGTTTGATAAGTGTCATGATTCATAGAGAGTGAGACAGTTGGGACAGTTGGAAGGATTAAATTAGGTTTGTGGACATAATAATAGAAGATTTCATTTTCTGAATTAATGGCCTTGGGACAAGACCCATCCTATTTGATCTTTATTTCGATAGAAACTATATAGCGGACGGTCCATAGATGGGGCCTTTTATCTTTTTCTATCTTTCCATCCAACCAAATATGATCCACAACTTTGGTGTCCTAATATCAATCATATGATCCTTTTGTCTTTCAAATGTTGGACTATTCCAATCATGTTACTGGTGTACCGGATCAACCCAAAGGTCTAAATTATCAAAGTATTCTCATAAGATTAAAGAATTATTAATCTCAACCATCCAACTGATGTACCAAGATTTCAATTCATTTGAGTCATCCAAAAAAAAATCAATCCAAGAGCCTATGCTATCAAAGTGATCCTTAAGATTAATGAATTAATTGTGGCCATCTGATTATCCGAGTATCTACGATTAATGCATGAAATTTTAGGAAAGAAACAGAAAGCTATGTAAATGATGTATAAAAGAACATCACATCCAGATGTAAAAGTCTACCCAAATGGGGTATAAAACTAATGTTTCCATATCCTATGTCCCTGCCGCTTCACTTTAGGCAGCTCTACTCTTGGCGGCAGATAGCCCCCGCCTACCATGACAGTTTTCACTTTGTTCCAAGTATCCCTTTCCATGACAGTTTTCACCCTGCTCTAGGTAGTCCTCCCAAGTAGTTCTCTCCATGACTTGTGATAAGATGTTGAGATGTGGTGGTAGGTTCTGATACCATTTGTTGCATAACTAATACACCAAATGGCTGTCAAGCCAAGCCATTTTAACCTTTTAGGACTGTAAGAGACCAGGCGCACTAGAAAGGAGGTTTTACCAAACATTCTTGAAAAGGAAAAAGATCTTGACAAAACAATTTTGTTGTGTAATGCACCATTTTTAACCGGAAAAAAAATTTACAAAATTTTTAACAGGAAAATTTTGCATTTAAGGCAATATGAAAAGAAGAAAACTTTGAATTTAATGAATGTTGCCTGAATCAACAATGACACAACACTTTTTTATTGGAATTTGCTTGCATTGGCAAACAAGTTGATATAGAACATGAATAACCCAAAATAAACAAATCACATAAAAAATACAAATCACTGATGCATAATTGCCAAATACCTCATTGATGATCTTCTGCGCTTGGAGCCCCAACATAAATCAACCTTATAGATCTTTCTCTTTGTTTCAATGAAGCCTTCAATCTTTCTCTTGGTCCCAAGGAAGCCTTGGCAATTTGGAGCACCACAATAGCATTCAACTTTGGGTCCAAAGTGCACAAATCTACAGAAAGAAAACCATGTCATTGTTTATTTTCACTTCCAATTTAAGAAGCTTGAAGCAAAGAAAATCTCATTATTTAGAAGCCCTATCAAACCAAATATATCGAACCAAAGGTGTATATCATTCTCAATAACAGGACTCTGGTCTTTTGAAGATCAAAAGATGAAAAAGGAAATAGTCAAATTAATCCTTGGAAGAGGTGTTCAAAACCACACATACTAGCAAGAGTTAACCCAATTCATCAAGGGTTGAAATAGCGGTACCCTAAAAAACTTAAAATATTAAATGAGATGTCAAAAATCAACATTTGATCACTTTCCCTAGAAATCTGCATTCATAATCATTGTATGAAAGCTCTTACATATGAAAAATACTATTGATGTGAATGATCTTCAATACGCTATACATATTAAGACCTGTAGTAAGTCTTGTCCTGAATTAGTGTGAAAAGAGGAGAGAACAAGGAGTAGAGATCACTGGTAATAATGATACCTTTTTTTGAAATATGAATTACTACTATACCCCAAATGTATCTTTCTATTGAGAGACTAACACTAATACTCCAATAGTCCCTCTCAAGTGAACACTAACCGGCTTGCCTAGAAATAATGTAATATTGCCGGCAACATAACCAATTGATCTGCCATAGCTTTTTTCAAACAAAGCAACTTGAAGATTCTGGCAATGGCAACCAGTGCAATTGCATTCATAGGGGCACTTTTGGCTCTTACCACAAGACAAATCTTTAACTGGTTAGATGGCCTGGACATTACCAACACAGTATTTTTAGAGGCCTACATCTCTTACCCAAGACAACCTATCATCAAATCCACCTCTCAACACATTTTCAACCATAGAACTACACTACCAACTTAATGGAGATTAATTCATAAATATGCCAATAAAAGAAACACTCTACCAAAAACTTCAAATTATCAAAGAAAGAGACCTAATAGATGTTTATCTCCTCATTGGTGTGCTCTCTGTAAGGCTGATGGTGAGTCCGGTTACCACTTATTAATTTCCTGTCAATTTGCAAAATGTATTTAGGAATGGTTCACTTCTATTTTTTTTTTTTTCTTTTGGGTGCAGTTGGAATTCCCCCTGAATGTGCAAAGCCTATTTACTTTTTCCTCCTTCAGCTGGCCAACAAAAAGAGGAAAGGTTATGTGGAGATGTGTTAGGGCTGCTGTATGCTGGTCTATTTGGGAGGAAAGAAACTTAAGAACTTTTTCTGATAAGGAGAGAATTCTAGAAAGTGTCATAGAAGTGATCCACATAAGGGCAATACACTGGCTGAAATATTTGCAGATGTTCAGACTTCTCAGTTGATGATCTGTTACAAAATTGGAAGGAAGTTGCGAAGTCAGTCCCATATAAGTTGACTTCAAGTCCATCATGGAATCCTCCCCCTCATGGCTTCATCAAACTGAATTTTTTTGGTAGCAGTTTGGGAAACCCAGGGCCATCTGGCATCGGGGGAGTGTTAAGGAATGAACAAGGGAATATAATAGCCTTGTTTTCTGGTCCAATAGGAGTTGAGACTCCCTTAGGGCCAAGGTAATGGTGGTCATGGAAGGTGATTCTAAGATAGTAGTGGGCGGGATAAAAGAAGACAAGATTGGGGTCTGGAACTACAACAATGAGAAGAGGAAGTTTAAGTGGTTGACTAAGGACGTTGATTTAAAATGTATTTGGGTAAAGAGAAGTGCCAACTCCTTCGCCAATGGATTAGCTAGGCAACGAATGCATAGGGATGCTACTTTCTGGGCTCATTTGTAACTGGTTTTTCTCTCCTTGATTGTTTATTCTGAAACGTCGGAGAGCTAAGATGTTTTATCTCCCCAAATCTGTATTCTAATCTCTTATTTTAATGAAATGCTTCCTGTTATTGATCAAATACCCCATAGAAACTGAAAGAGGGGTAGACATATAACCCAGTCTAATAACATAAACCCGAAGTGACCCAAGTTCTGAAATAGCAATCAGGGGTCATGTAACAAATCATGAGAGCAGCATGAGCACATACAAGTGACTGACAACTGGACAACTGACTGACATAGCAACCTCCGAACTTGCACTGATGTGGCATAACTGCCTAACAGATAGAAGATCTGGAGGGAGGGAGGGAGGGAGGGAGGAGAGAGAGAGAGAGAGAGAAGCTAGATAAAAGGGACCTTGAATCCTTCCATCCTCTTCCACCAGCTGACTCAAGCCAATCCTCAGGCCTTTCACATCCACTGCCACCATAACCCCCTTTTACAAAGTACAAGAACAATTAAAAGTAAATTGCCTTAAGACAAAAACCTAGAGTCATTTAGGCATTTTATCAAACATGTATGAAGCGCATTGAGTCCTGAAGCGCATTTAAGATAATTCAATGAGTATCTGTAATGCACCATGCATCACCAAAAAGCGTGACCACAAATGAAGAACCACTTCTTGTCATTTAAGATTCAGAAATGAAGCTTCACCTTCCTCCTAAAACCAAATAGAAACTTGAGTACCACTTGAAACAAGAGTACAAGACCAAGCTTAAAGCTATGTCTGATTACTATTAATCAAAAAATAAATTAAAAAAAAAAAAAAACTGTCTGATCACTACAAAAGAGTTCATCAATCCCAAACAACTTTATTGAATGATCCTTGATCACTTCATCACCAAAAAGGCCTAAATAAATGAATCTTGACCTACAATCAAGATATAAGAGGATAACTCCCAACAGGCACCAAAATAGAATGGGAGAAAAAAGAGCTGCTCTTAATTCTTCACAAAATCCAATAAAACATTAATCACTAGATCTAGAAATACTTTAGAAGCCTAGAAAAGTCCTAACACAAGCTACATTCGATTTAGACATAAAAGCACCAGTTTCAAGAAAAGATTCTAGAACTGTTTTCTAGACAACAAAAAAATGCCTCAAAATTCTCCAAAAAACCTTAAAAGCCAGGCAATTCAAAAATGACAGCCAACAGAATATACTATTTAAAGTCTGTTCTTACTATTTATGTTAATTCTAATAATAACTAATTATAGTAATTTCTTTAGATACTATAGCCATCATCATCTAATCTCTTTCCAACGTTATGAGTTCAGCTACATGAATCTTGTTCCACCATTCCTTTTGTTCAGTCCCATACCATTGTTAAAGCCTTTAAATTATATCCCACTACTTAACACATCCTTTTTGGCTTGCCCCTATCTCTTCTAGCCCCTTGTAACAGATCACTTCTTCTGATTGGTTCTCTTCTAGCCCCTTAAATCACTTATAGGAACTGATCATTTCTTTTGGATTTAACAAACCTTCTTAGTTGACCTACCCATTTTCACGCACATGAGCCACTCCTAGATTCCTTCTAATAAAGTCATGCCTGGTTGTATCCTTTTTCAACATTCTTAGTACTACCACACATTTTTTTTTATGTCTTCCTTGACTGCCCAACACTCTGGTCTATACAAATATTCCTTTTAGCCTAAGAAATATTTTCGAATAAACATGAATTGAATGAAAGATAACTAGACCAATAACTAAGAATTGTTGAAGAAGAAATATAGATGCTGGAGAGAACAGATCTGAAATTAACTAACAAATCTGAAGACATCATCATAAATATCTCCATCATTGCCAAAGTCTTCTTGGTGCTCTTCATACCTTCTTGTCATGAATATGAATATGCAAGGAGAGAGAAAAGATAACAATGAGAAGAGTAGAGAAACTCTTCAGAGATGTCACTCTCAGTTGGGCTACTGCCCAACTCAGGTGTTCTTTGAGGGAACACAAATATCTCGTTCATTTCTCCCTTCCAAAAGGGTTCCACTATATATAGATTTTATCACAAATCATAACAGCCTCTAATACTCTGATGCAGATCTTAATGGTTTCAGCTGACGTGGAGACGCTTTCTCCTAGCATATACTCGATCATATGATGGTCATGCACTTGGGTTTGTCTGCTGTTCGAATATGATAGATTTGTCTCCATCTGGTAAAAGAACACCCTCCAAATGGGCTTTGTCCTCAAGGACAAAATATGGATAAAGCTGTAGTAAGGGTTTATAGGGTTCCCATGTGGCTTCCTCCCTAGATAGCCCGATCCAAGCTACAAGTGCTTCCTGGACTATCTTCCGCCCTATTTTCAACCAACGGAGATCAAGAATGCTCTATGGCTAGGTAACAACATGGTCATCCTCGGAAAATTCTAGTAAGCAAGACACAACTGCTGAATTGAGACCTACGTATGGTAGAATGGCTGGAGGATCTTTCCCATAAAGAGCCTTGAAAGGAGTCATACCCACGGCTGAGTGAAATGGCTGGCGATGATAGGTCTCCAAACACCTATTGAGTACCTTGATCTGCCCATTTGATTGGGGATGATAGCTAGTGGTATGGTGTAGCCCTATCACCTGCAACCTGAAGTACTTGTTCCAAAACTGTCTGAGGAAGGTAGGATCTTATTCCAAAATAATAGCTGTAGTACCATGTAATTTAGCAACATCCTTGACATATGCCTCTGCAACTTGGGCCACACTATAAGGGTGTGATAGTGCCACAAAATGAACATATTTTTCATTAGTCGTTCCACCACAACCATAATGACCGATTTTCCAAGAGTAATGGGTAACCCCGAAATGAAATCCATGAATACTTAATCTCATACCAAAGCTGGAATTGGAATGGGCTGAAGAAGACCAGCAAGTGCCTGAGCTTCATACTTCTATTGTTGGCACACTTGACAAGAAGCAATGTACTCCCGGATTTTGTTCTTCATTGCTGGCAAGTAGAAGTGAGAAGCCAAATGGTAGTATGCTAGGGATGTATCATGGAATAACCTCAACAATTCTGGAATAAACCAGGATGTCAAAGGTATTACCATTTTGCCTTTGGAGAATAGAATCATATCCTTCACTGAATAATTTGGGTGGGAAGTGGGATCCTGGAGACATTGCATGCAAATCTAGGATAATCCTGGGTCCTCTTGGGCCTCAAGCTGGTCGAGAAG